ATCCATCCATCCATCCATCCATCCGTCCATCCATCCATCCAGTTTTATAGCAGATACACATGGTCAAGATTTCATAATATGTTAAAGGACTGAGCTAGTCTTATATTAACATGAGTAAGAATAATCAATTAACATTAATAAAATCTATTTTTATCCTTACGTTTTAGTTTATTTTATTCACTATTAGGTATAATTTGTTTACTGTTCTATCCCTGTGGCATTCCTTCCCCGCCTGTTACGTTTCACTAGTAAACCTACAATAAAAGAAACCACCTCTTTCATTCAGCTTGCCTGGACGTTACCAAGCAGAAGGACCTGAGTGGCTTCTATCGGCATCTGCTGAACCAAGCAGTGGGGGAAGAGAAGATGCCCCACTGCAGCCTTCGGGGGCCTGGGTAAGCTTCGGCCGGGTGACCCTCGGGAATCCTAGCCTTCCCTCAGCCAGCTGGGCTTGAAGGATCCAGCGGGGTCTCCACTGGAAATGGATGTATCAGTAGCACTTTTGGGGGAGCTTAATGGCACCAGCATAAACATCTCAGCCAAGAGCAGGGGGCGGGGGGGGTCAAGTCACGTCCCTTTCTCTGCGGTGGCACCAAATCCTGGAACGTCAGCAAGGAACCGGCCTTGGAGAAACTGGTTCCGTATCAATCGTCAGAGCAAAATTCTTGCTGCTGGGAGAGGTGATGTGATGCCAGAACCTGAAAGCCATCGTAAAATACCAAAGTGGCAGTCTTGTCTTCTCCCAACACCCTCAACCAAACCTAGATAAAGTGTTTTATGTATTTATTTGTTAATTGCATTGGCTGCCCGACTCCATGCCGACTTTCTATCTTCAGGGGGGATATGAGCCCACCCTGGAGGTATAAAGTCAGCTGAGGAACAGCCCATAAATCCACCGGTTGCTTCCGTGATTTGCTCCTTATCTCAAATCACGGCACGTCAGCATTACTGGTTCCTCCTGCAGATGTTCTCCCCTCTTGGTCAGCATCTTGTCCAAAGCTTGCTGCTGGGTGCTTCTTTTGGGCCAGCATTAAAGAGAAGGGAAGAACGAAAGAGCCCCCATGCTGATGGAATTTGGCTACCCTTCCCCGTGACGGACGCCAGTAACTTTGTTGAAGCGTGACCATAAGTGGAAAGGCTCCGTGTCGCTCCAGGATTCAGAAGACACTGAGTCTGTACCGGGATTAAACAAGGCCCGGCCAAAGGTTATGCTGCGGGTGGTTGAAGCGGTGGATATGTGCCCACCCGGTGCTCAGGAGCCGTAGTGAACTGCTAGTCTGATGCAGCATCGGGCTGCTCCTGTACTACTGTCGACTGACAGGACAGGTGGCAGCATGCCTCGAAGGGGAGAGGGGCATTTTGGTCAAAGGGCTTCTCGGTTATTTGCTACAGCGAAGAGTTATGTTAAAGGTAACTGTCATGATACAAGAGGGAGAGTAGATGGGGAAAGTTGTGTTGGCACATCAGCTGTACAAAAAGCAGGAAGGGGCTTTTTGATGTGCTGGTTCTGCTGTGCTCTGTCCATTTCCCTTAGCGGCCAGCCAGGTGTTTGTAAAGCTTGCAGGTAGATCATGAGAATGATCAGCTCATGTGCTGTTTGTCCCTGCCATCGGAGGTTCAGAAACGCATCACCTTGAACAAGGGCTTCTGTTTACCTGGCACAGTCTAACTTATGAAATAAATACAATAAACGTGCAGTTTTCTACACAGCCCAGCTTTCGTTAAAAATGGGATAAGGCCTACAAATGGATGTGTGTACTTTCATAGTTATTCTGTATTTGTAGGGAATTAATGTGTAGGAATTATTTTGTCTCCAAACGATGTTTAGAATCAAGGGAGAAGACCTCAGTGAGAAGCCGCCAAACTCCAATCAAACCCACAAGAGTCTGGAAGACAAAACGAGGACTCGCGTTCCCGGAAAGGGAGAGGAGACCCTGGCTGCAGACAGCGACTTGCAAACGGATGGCAGTGATGGTGAGGACAGGGCTGCCGAGGGAGCCCCGGAGAGCAGAAGCGGAGAGGGAAAGGCGGCTGGGGCAGGCTGCGGGGATCATGGCGGGGGCCGTCCCAAGCCCGGGCCAAGCCAGCGGGACTCCAGGTCACCCAGCGAGGAAAGACGCCTCCACGCCCACCAGGCCGAGAGGGGAGACGGGAGGAGAAGGGGGAAGGCTGGCCAGCATGACGAAAAGAACCACGAGAGAAGGCTCCAAAGCCACAGGAAGGATGAGCGAAGCAGGACTGAGGGCCATCACAGGAGGCGGCAAGACCGGGATGATCGGCAGAGGAGGAAGGACTGGGAGGAAGAGGAGGAGGAGGAGAAGCGAGAGCAGAGGAGAGGAAGAGAAAAGAGGGAGCATCGAGCCAAAGAGAGGGACCGGGAGGGAGACCGGGAAAAGGGAAGGGGAAGGGAGGCAGCCAGCAGGGAAGGGAGAGACGAGAAGCCGAAACACGGGAGGAAATGCAGCTCTGGGTCCACGGCCCAAGAGGGCCCCTGGGCTCAGGGAGGAAACCCCTCCAGCCCAGAGAAGTCCCCCGAGCTGAAGCACAAGACTTCAGCTGACAGCGGAGAGCCGCTGGAGAAGCCTCCGGAGAGCCTCAGCAAATTTGCTAGGCGTAGCAACCAGGAGACGGTCTCATCTGCCCGGGACCGCTACCTGGCCCGGCAAATGGCTCGCGTGGGCACCAAATCCTACGTGGAAAAAGAGGAAGATTAGGCCTGGCTTCATGGGGGAATCTCAGGGCCTTTTGAGTGGAAGTCATATCTGGCCATTCTGGGTATGAGAAGCAAACCTAGTGGACTTACGGACTGCTGGAGGGGGCTCAGCTCCTTTTTAGCCTGCTCTCTTGGGGCTGGGGGTCTCCTAGGCTGGAGCACATTTCCAGGCCCAGTCTGGGGCCTTCAGGCATTTCCTCAAGATCCAGAAAGTGCCCAAGAGTACACAGGAAGAGAAGCATGCCTATTATACGAGATCAGAGCATTCTTATTTTTTTGTTTTAAATACACTGCACTTCCACAGCAGACTTAAAGATGAGGAGTTTCTGTTTGGTGTTTTGTTATTTCTGCCTTCGAGAACCAGCGAAATAAAGTGAAAAGGCGAACTATTTTAGGCCCTCTTTGGCTCTGTTTTTCATCCATGCTGAGTCTTAGTTCAGCTGCATTATTTCTGCCCGTTAAGTGTGAACAGTCAGCATATATACATCAAGCAAATTCAAGAACGCTGGCTGTGCGCTAGGGAATTTCCTGCTGTGTAACATGCAGGGTCCTGGGCTAAGGGTTTATAAGCCTGCTGTGCACAATCCTCCTATCTCTAGAAACCTGGCAGTGTCCATGTTTTCACAGTGCATTTCCAGCCAAGCTCCTGGCTCACCTTCAACCTTTTCTAAAGGGCTGCGTCAACACCACCGCTTGATTTTAGAAATGCACGTTTCCCAAAAAAAGGTTCCAGGTGGCCGTAGCCGTCATTTGTCAAAACGTGCCTTTGAAGCTCCGTCCGACCCTCCTGTCCTGGGGCCGCAGCTCGTTCGCTCTTGACTTGGTGTCTGACGTTGCAAAGTATCATTAACGTAAGCTCGCATTTATCTTCCTGAATGAAGTTTAATTTCTTAGAGATTTTTTTTTTCGTGGAGTATCTTGTGTTTACATCCTGTGTCCTGGAAAGCCATCAGGAGGGGCCCCTGTATTTTCTGGTCGCTATGGAGACATCTTTGCCGACTCCAGAAATAGAGAGTCTCTCTCCTCTTGCTCTGGACATTATATGGGTGACCTTAAAGAGTTTTCAGGGGATCGCTTCCCATTCGGCTTAATTTGAGGGAAATGCCCCTCACTGATTTCTAAGCTCTTAGACACCAAGAAGCTTTTCCTGCCTCTTCTGCTTTGAATTGCTTCTCTCTTCATCAAGTGGAGAAGGACCAGTGTCCTACAGCTGAAGAGACAGCCGAAATAGGATATCTTGTTACTTAATGCTTTTTAACCACTTTATATGCTGGAAACTTAAGAATGTCTATTTGAGAAAGCCCAGAAGGAAATTGTTTTGCTGACCAAGTATTACTTCCATAGAAACCTCTGCCTAATCTTTAATCGCTGGGGAACGTTACCCTGGTTCTCTTAATCATGCCGTCCCCACATGGAGCAACAAACTTTGCCAGACTTTCTTAGTTTCCAGGCAAGGGGGTATTAAATCTAACCTTCTCTCCTGTTCTTTGTACTTCTTGCTAGCAATCTTTGGCGGCTCTGACGCTGCTGTAAGAGCTACGCATATAAAGGGAAGGCATCAGATAGGGAGTGGGACATGATGTCACCGAAGGCAGAACACAAAGAACGGAGATGGGGGCTTAAGCATCCTGGCCTGGCCAGGGAAGTTATTAAAAGACTTCCTGATTTCTGCTTTGCTAGTACTTTTTTCCTGCTGTGGACCTGCAGAGAATCACAGAGAGACCTTGGAAAAGGAATGAACTAAGCCCAGCCAGGGAGAGAACATTAGAAAGAAACTCAAGATTGCCCCGTCTTGACTGACTTTGGTATCAGAGGGAGGGAGGGAAAACTTTCTCAGATTTTCAAGATTCATTTGTTACCGCCTAGATCAATAAAGTAGGTTCTGTGACTTCTTGGAGTCTGTTGCCTGATCTGGCCTACCTTGAAGGGCTGACATCAATCTTGAAACCCCAGCCACGTTGTCCCTCTTATACCAAAGAGAATTCAGCTGGAGCCCATTTAAGTTTCTTTCTAATCCGCTCCTCTTTTCCCTGCTTAAGGCATCTTTTTGTTAACTGTGATGTTCCTATCCCAAGGTCATCTCTGTGATTCTCTGCAGCGGGATTTCTCAACCTTGGGAACTTAAGTGTGGACTTCAACTCCCAGAATTCCCCAGCCAGCCATGCTGGCTGGGGAATTTTCTGGGAGTTGAAGTCCACACATCTTAAAAGTTTCCAAGGTTGAGAAACACTGCTCTGCAAGAACTGAGCAAGCAGGAGAGCTTTTGGTACATAACATTTCAAATGCCCAGAAACCAGTTGAAGCTCCTGGCCAATCTTGTTTGGGCTCAGAAGCTAAGCAGAGTCAGGCCTGGTTAGTAATTGGATGGGAGATGACCAGGGAGTCTCAAGGTGGAGCCAAACAAGCATCCAAGAAGTATGCAAGAAGCAACCGCTTCTCCAACTTCATGGAGGCGTCTGTGAGGTCATTGGTAAGGAGCCACGCTTGGTTTGAAGAATGTTTTATTTGTAATACTTAAATTCAGAGACAAGTTAGTCTTCTATCTAACCTTCCAGCCTTAGGATTTTATTTTCTACAGCCATTTCTTACAGAGGAGGTGTTCTGCTCTCCAGGTTGCCTGTGGCAGCACGTCCATTAGGGTTTTAGTAAGGAAACGGGATTCTGGATTGGGACCCAGGCAGGAACTGAGCAACAAGGGACTTGGGAGTAGCCACCGGAGGAGAATCCACCGATGCAGGGACAGAGCCGGACGGCTGCTCCTCCTGCCTGTCGGACCATCTTTCCCGTTGAGAGCTGCAGAGGGAGGCTGTGGTGGCATTTCGGTTCAAGGAGCGTAGTGAGAATCGCTCTTCATGAAGTTCTAATGCTTCTACTCTGCCTCCTCGAATGGACCTTATAAGGCAAAAGTGTTAAGGAACACACTTAACCCTGGGATTGGAAGACAGCCAGCCCTGCCACCGTCCGTGACATGCAAATTCGCAGCCTTGCTCCCAGGAGCTCAGTGGCTCCATGCTCCATGGGCCATCACTAGGGTGATCTGGAGAGGGTCGGAAAGGCTGCCTTTCTGACTGCTGTGACTCAGCCCAGCCCTGCTGGCCCTGGGGGACACCAAGATGCAGCCTCTCTCGGGGGGCAAACCAGGCCCCAGCACGTGTTACGGTGCCCAAGAGGCCCTTGGAAGTTCAGAAGTCCCGGATTAAAGTCCTCCATCTCTTGATCCCTGGAACCTTAATTTCAGTCAATTATTTCTCACCAGAAAGGCGGGGGTACAACTTCCATTTTATTATAATACTAAATTTATTACAACAACACTTTACGCTGCAAGGGCACATGCGAAGGACATACACTCCATCTTGGGACATTCAAGGAAAGCAGCAACATAAGAGAATACAAGTGCCGTATTACACAATTTAGGAATGCTTTAGTTCTGTAAAATAAAACTCCAGTTTTAATTTCTCCATACAAAAATGACACGCACAGGTTCCAGGCTCGCACAGAATGGAGAGGGCCCAAGCCGTTCGGCAGGATCCCAGCAGCCCCGACGAGGCTCTGCGTCTGGAGCAGCACTTCGTTGCGAGGCTGTTTCCTCTGACGCCTTTAAGGGACCCACAGGCGGGGACGATGGTCCAATGGTGCCTGTCCAGGGGCTCAATAAGTTCCGTTCACAGTTTGCTATGGGTTAGATGGTTTTAGTACAGCCCAGTTGGCTGAGTGGTTTCACAACTTGTTTTGGAGTATTATTGTACACACACACACACACACACACACACCCCTCTACCGTGTGGCTCCACCAGCTTATAATTTAACCGTTGCGAGAAAAAGCAAGAGGCGTCTGTTTCACGAAGAGGAAACTTTACTGCCAGCTTCCTGCAAATGGGACCTCACGCAGCAGCAGCTCCTATGGGATTGAGATTGACAATGAAATGTCCTAGTGAACACACACACGCGCTGGCACACTCGGGGGAGGAGAGGCATGGCTGCCCTTCCCTCGGCTGCAGCGGAAGAGGACTCAGAATTATTCCTCCAGCAAGCCAAGGCTCGCCTGCTGCTGGGCCATCGATGCAGCGTGCTGTCTGGCCTCCACATCCAAGGAGATTCCTCTCTCTTATCGTGGCGCCTGCGCTTTGCGGAGGGGTGAAAATAGCCCCAGGTGGGAGAAGAGCATCCTGCCCACCCATCGTCCACTTCCTCTCTCCTGGCCTTCGTCGGATGGGGCGGAGTGGGAGGTGCTGAGCAGGTGGCTCATCTTAATCGGCGGCACCCTGATGATGCTCCCTCTCCGCTAAGTTAAAGCCCCCTCTTCAGCCTAAAGCTCTGGTTTAGGAGGCCGCCTGGGACAGCCTTGCTGGACTGAGCTGCTTTCAGACCGGTTGCGGGGATAAGCGCCCCCTCGGCTAAGGAAAACCACACCAAACAATTCATGCACACAGACAGTTTTCTCTTTGGAGCCGCTCAGACTTGCCGGTTTTCCAGCTGCAAGGAACGGTTTTCGCCCTGCAGGGGCACCCAGGCCTTCCGCTCCCTACCTCGCAGCAGTCTGGGGTAAATTGCACTTTTTAAACTGAGCCTGCAATAACATCTCTCTTGGAGGGCTTGGGCTGGCTCTTTGCTAGGATTCCTAAGGTAAGACAATGATCAGCAAACCTGGATCGAGGGTTCCTGCTTTTGTTTTTTTCCCACCTTGGTGAAAAATATGGCGATCCTTTGCAGCGGATACGACAGGGGGCTATCACAGAGGGTCACACCGAGAGAACGGACAGGGGTGCTCGCACAGATAGATGGATCTAACACAATCCTAGCTTGCAACAGACGCCCGACAGAGGCTGAGTAAAACCATGCATGCATTCAGACAGCTCCAGGTCCAGGAACAGGGTGCGGAGGACTCACTTGCCCTCAAGTGTCCAAAACAAAGTCACGTGCATCCCAAAGAGTCCGGGGCCGGGGGCCGGCCTGTCTTTTAGGGAGACGCTTGGAGCTCTTCCTCCACCTCCATCCCAAGCATGCTCCCCGGTGGACGTCCACGTCTTTGGAAAAGAGCCGAAAGCAGCAGAGGCAGGGGGGACTCGGCCTCTCCTCGCCTCTCCCATCTCCCCAGATGCGGGGGCGCCTAAGCGGCATTCATACGGATGCCACCGAAGGGAATCTCCGTTGCCGCTTCTGGAGTGATGCTGTTCAGGAGACGCTGTGGAGGAGAGAAGGGCACGGCTGGGAGGGAGCGCCCATCGCTGGCTTCGGAGGGGCCGCAGAGTGGGAGGGAAGGGGACCGGACCGAGGCACCGGGGCCCGTCAGAGGGAGAGGCCTCTCGAGCTGAATGACCCGAGCTGCCACGGGAGGCGAGCGGCCTTTTGGCCGAGCCACCCGGGGGGAGGTGGTCTTCCTCAGCGGCCCCTGCACCACTTCCAACTCAGCCCCTGGACCACAACTTTTAATGGGGCAGAAGGAGGGCACTAAGCCCTGGGCAATTAATGGCGTTCAGTTCAGCCGCCTTGAACGGAAATTGAAACGTAATCAAATGGACTTGTCGCCTCAACTCTGCCCACCTCTTTGCCCAAGCCAGTGCCCCATTCAGAGGCCCCGGGGAGCCCCATCCACTCACAGTCTTTGGGGTAATCTTCAAAGAGAAGGAAATGGGAGGCAGCTTGGCAGGAGGCGGGGTGACCCCAGAACCCACTCCAGAGTTGGACCAGGTTAAGAACCAGGAACCTAGAGCTAGATGTATCATGCTCCGTTGGTAAAACCAACTAAATCAGTCTAGTTTAGAAGAAAAAAATCTATTCTCGGTTGACTGATGGAGATGAACACGTAACAAAGCAAGCCGCACTGTCTGCAATGGCTGCGCGGAAGATACAAAAGCAAATGCTGACAAATAGTGCTGTTAATTTTAGAGGGGATGTCCTGAACTGATATGGATTGTTGTACTTTTAAATGCATTTTGCTAAAACCCGTGGTTGCAAATAAATGTACACACGACAGTAAGTTAAGAACCAAACGTTCTGTCTGGGCGAAGGCTGCAACTTCTTTCATGGGACGTGCGGGGGATAAAAACTTGGGTTTTTAGCAACCTGGAGTAGCAGGATCTGATGCTGGCTGGAGAGGCGGTTTGGCCCTTCGCTTTCCTGCTGGACTGTCCCTTGCGGAGAAGGCGCTCCCCCTCTTCTCCTCCGCCTCTCTGGCCAATTTCGCAAATCCAGCCTCCCCCTAGCACCAGTTTCCTCTAGCCAAATTCACAACGTCCCTTGGAAAACCCTATTCCCCCTTTCCAAGCGAGTGGTGTGTCACCAGCCCTACTAGGTAGACCAGACCAGAGAACCCACTCCACAGCAAGGCGGGAACCACGCTTTACTGAGACTGGCTATAACAGTTCTCCGCCTTAGGCACGAAGCCAGCTGGGCGACCGTGGGCCAGTCGCTCTCTCTCCGCCCTAGGAAGGAGGCAAGGGCAAACCCCTTCTGAAAAACCTTGCGGAGAAAACTGCAGGGACTGGTCCAGGCGGCCTCCAAAAATTGGACACGATTGAATGGATGGAAAAAAATGACAGGATCTTGCAAGTCTGATTGTCCTTTAGTTTCCCTCCTCTTATACTCTAGTGTAGTATTTCTCCACCTTGTCAACTTGAAGATGGGTGGACTTCAACTCCCAGAATTCCCCAGCCAGTCCACCCATCTTCAAGTTGACAAGGTGGAGAAACACTGCTTTAAAGGAAAGCCGCTTCTGAATACTGTCTTGCTCCCTGGGACTTAAAGAATGCTTCAGCCCCCTTTGCTAGCTAACATTTCCTGCGTATTCCCCTCAAGGTCATTTCCCTTACGCTTCTCCACCCCCAGCAGCATCTCACAGGGGGAGCAGCTCATACCCAAACTTGGACATAGGTCCCCTTGTTCAAAACCCTAGTGAGGAAGCCATCCAAAGTTTTTCAACCGAAAGTAAACTCAAGGGGTGAGGGCATCCGCAGGGGGATCGAAAAAACCCAAGATGGCAGCTTGGGTTGCGTGTCACAAGCGCCCTCTTGACTCTTTTGACCCCTCCTAAGGAGACACCCTAGCTCAGGCCCTTGTGCCCCTCATCCACTGCTCCCCGGGTGGCACCTCAGCCAGCACAAGACGTTTCGAGCTCTGATGCGACTTAAAAGCAACCTGGACCAAATTCCTTTAAGATGCAATTTTCTCTGGCCACTTGGATGTGGTGTGCAAACTCTCTTCTGCAGGGACCAGACAGCTGGGAGGAGATGCCTTTCTGTAGGGCAGGGAGGCTGGCTGGGGAATTCTGGGAGTTGAAGTCCACCCACCTTAAAGTGGCCAAGTCCGAGAAACACTGGAGTGAGCTAGTCCATCACAGGCGGCTTTCTCTGTTGATGGCCAAGCCCTCTGCCTTCCTCCTGCAATTTGTCCCCCGGGTCCCCCCACCCCCAGGGCCGGCCTACCTCTTTCAGCGTCCCTGGAGTCCTTGCCAACCGATAAACCATGTAGGCAGGAATGCAGATGAAGGACGATGTCCCAATGAAATAGCCAAGCACCGTGGTCCAGTACGGGTAAGTGTAGTCGAAGAGGCGGATGTCTGGAGGGCTGGATATGAAGCTGCAAATGATAAACTGGAGAAGACCCCAATGGCTTAGCCGTGGGAACTGAGGCCAGAGAAAAGCTCCCGCTCACCCGTCAGGCTGCCAGTCCGGACCTCTCGAGGGGCATACCTAGCCTGTGGGGCAGATGCCTCAGGGCACAAAAGGAGAGAAGCTGAGGACCACCAGCCCAGCGTCCAGCTGGATGGCTGGATCCAAGCAAGGAGGCAGCCCCTCAGGGCAGCAGATCCAGGAGGAGAATGCCAACCAGAGAAGGGGCTTTTTCCAACCGACAGGAAGACAGGTTTAGAGCGGCCTGGGGCAACCCTAGAAGATGCCACCTTCTGCAGATCCACCCCAACTTTTCTTCCCATGGCTGGCTTCCCAGAGGGCTGGGCTCGCCCATAAGGGCTTGCCTGACCTTCAGCGACCCATCCTTGCCCTCCAGCTCCATCCAGCTGGGGATGTTCCTCCCTGATGCCCCTGAAGCCCCCTTCCTCTCACAGACTGCTTTAAAAAGCGCCCTGTTTTCAGCTGCATTCTGTTTAAACAGGTTCAAGACTGTTGATTTTAGCTGTTGCAACCAGGCGGTTGTTTGTATCTAAAAACAGTTTGGAAAGGAAGCCCTTTGTCCTGAAAGTTTGGTAGTAAATTGAGGGAATAAATAGCCTTTCACCTTTCCAGCTTCTGCCTTCGCTGGTCTCTTCATCATCAGAAAGGAAAAGCAAACAGCTGAACAGCAGGAGGGGGAGATTGGAGAATCCACTGACTTACTCTTGGCTTAACCTCAACTCCCCAGAAATTAAAAATGAGTTTGCAACATCCATGGCAACCCGCAAAAACCACTTGTGTTCCTATTTGGACTGTCCTCAGCAACCAAGTAACCACAGTACCTGATTATTGCTCCTAATTTCATTTTTTCAGGCTCATAAAAAGCTTGTGTGGGTGAGCGAGAAAGAGTGTGTGCGCGTGTTACTATATAGAGGGTTGACGTGATTACACATGATTGTTTACCCCTTTTATTCTGGGCAATAAAATTAAGTTTTGCTAAACAGACATCCATCACGCTCGCCAGGTTGTTTTCGAATCGCCAGACAGACCTAGAAAGTGCTTGCCATCCATAACCCTTACACCTCTCCTGTCCAATGCTTAATGTTGACGGCATTTAAAAAGTCAGAAGAAGCTAATTTTGGAAAGGGAATTAAGTCTTTGTTTAGCAGTGCTAGAAACAGCTCCGTCAAACCAACCACTGGGACTGTTTCTCCCCCTCGCTTCACCTCTTAGAAGTAAAATTGAAGAACGACGTATTGCTGCAAAGAGAAAGCAGAAGTGGCGGGGGGGCTGCAGGATATGATCTGGTAGGATGGTGGCTGTGGTGGTGGGATCGAAGCTCTACCCGGCTGTGTGCATTTCATATAAAAACAGGCGTGGACCTTCCATCACACCTCCATGGGGACTGTCTTGACTGTTTTGGCCGTACTTCCAGAGACCCCTGCAAGATCTGGGTGATGGGACCAGGTCCAAAGACTTCTGTCAGGATGTGCTAACACACTTGCCCTTTCTAAGGTTGCTTCTTGGCCCACCTGTTCTCCAGCTCCCTCTCTCTCAGGGTTGCAACTGGAAACTCTTACGTCCTTTAAAAACTGGTGGCTCTCCAGCGTGTTCAGGGACGGCCATGCAAAGCCCAGGAGCTATTGCCATGTGGAAATAGCCGGTTCGGCTGCCAAAATTGTTCTGCAAAGCAGAATCAGAAGTCCTATCTACTGCTGGAGGAGGGGGACCCTTCCAGCTCGTGGAGGCAACTCACCAGGATGAAAACGGGGCTGATGACAACCCAGCAGATCCTCCAGAACCAGCCAGGGCTGAACCCAAGCATCTCTTTCACGTCACTGCAGAACTGGGTGACGCCTGTGGAAGGACACCAAAGGCATTACTGGCCATTGCAAATTAGGGCCAACAGTAGAAGAGCACGCAAAAGATGGGTTTGGGTCGTGTCAGCCCAGCCCCTGAGCAGCAAAGGAACTTCACGGCCCCTGTTGCCCTTCTTCCCATCCCCAAAGGTCTCTGCAGCTTGCCACCTCAAGCGCTGTAATTAAGAGGAGCGTGGTAAAAATCAACCCGGGTGGCTGCCTACTCTCTCTGCCCTCTGCAAGAAGATCATAGAAAGGGGTGAAAGAAAGTGGGCTTCCAGATGTAGGAACCTAATAAGGTTCACGTCCTCATGGAAACCCACCACTTCTAGACTGCCCTGGGCACTTCCCAAGCTTGTGGTCGCCTTGTAATAGATGGTTGGCCACTGGAGCCCTGCAGCCCGCTGGTTGCCCCCAAGGAAGAAGGCATCCTTTCTAATCGGTCTTCCCCCACAGAACAACGTGCACGTGGGAGCTCACCATAGAACCAAGCCACCGCGATGGATTCCAGAAACACCACAGCTATCACGGCCGGCCCCGTGGCGTATTCTTCGAAGAGTTTCACCACATATGCACCTCCCTGGGAGGAAGAAGAAGCATGTGGACAATGAAAGGAGGGCCTCAGTTTCCCAGAAGCAATACTGATGGGTGCAGCTCATTCCACCTCAGGAGGGAGAAAGACCCCATGTGCGCAAGCCCAAATAGGTCTGAAATGCGCCTCCCCCAATACTGCTGGCACCTTATGCAATCTGCAGCATTCCCAGCCCATTTATTTTTCGTTTATCATTTATTTAGCGCACTGTTTGTGTCTCACATCTCCAGATCTTCCCTCTGCCTTGGAGACTAGCAGGAAATCCAGGGGCTTCTCCTGGCCATTGAAATAAGCGAATCCAACAAAACTGAGGCCTCACTGTCTCTCCCCCTTGGGGAGAACATCTGGAATTGCTGCACCCCCGTGACTGGGAGGAAATCTGCAGACAGACCCTGGTTTTGGTTTGGGTTGAAAAATCGAAGCTGGAAAAGTCCGGGGGGGGGGGCATTTGCAATGGGATGGGAGATGGAGGACAATCACATCACCCATTCCTGCATTCAGGGACCGGTGGGCAGCAGGAAGTGCAAAATGCAGATCCACTCATTGGGTATTTTAAGGGAGTAATAATTTACCGTTTGCTCAAAGAGAATTAAAGAACTGTAAAGATTTAGATGCTGTATCTATCCCAAAATCTCAATTTTTTCTTTTTAATTTACAGTACCCAGATTTTAAGCTGTGGCCACAGGAAGGAGACCCCCACGGTATCTGGAGGTGGCTCCGGGGAGGAATAGAAACCAGGTCCTGGGCTTTGTCCAGGCCAAGACGGATGGGAACCATTGGAATGAGCGCAGCCTCAAAGCTGTGGATTTGAACGTCTGGGGAACACCATGCTCAAACGCTGTGGCTCAGTCCCCCGGCATGCTGAGCCATAAGCTGGTTTCTTTAGTTCAGCATAACATTTGAACTCAGCTACCATGACCTGTCAATCATGGTTTGTGGCCTAGAGTGGTAGGAGAACCCACTCAACTCTGGTTTGTGACGTATCTCATAGTTAAACAATACGTTGGCCTGCAGCGGTTGGCAGTCCAAGGACCCGCTTCGCAAGTCCCTGCAGATCAGCCCCCCGCCCAAGGGGCCAGATCAGCTACTCACAAAGGTCAGCGTTGACAAGGAGCCCATGAAACACACCACGATGAACATCAGCACAAACCATTCCCGTCGCTGGCCCCAGACGTGTGGGAACTCATCCAGGACGCCGGTGATGACCCCCTCCAGGCCTGCAAACTGGGAAAAGCGCATGGAGAGGTCAAGGAACGAATGGCGCCCACCATCCTCTTCCCCAAGCTGAACCCAGGCGGTGCCACACCTTCACCTCGAACAGGGGCCAGCTGGAGGGTTGCGAAGGAATGCCAGGAGCAGGTCTGGCTATGCAAGTCGCGGGACTCAGATTCTTAGGATTGGAGGACATGCAGCCCCCCCCCCGCGCTCAGTGCAAATTACAGCATCGCAGGCATTGCATGCTTGAGCCCATCCAGTGAAGGAGCTCGACCCAAGGGTTTCATTGGCTCTGCTTTCCAGCTGCTCTTATTCTCTCGCCTCACTCAGAGTCTCCCCTGCCACAGCTTAAACCCATTATCCCATGCCTCTGGAGTGAGAAACGCTAGGGTTTGCCAGCATCTTCTTAAAATGCCGTGTCCCAAGCTGGACCGAGGCCCACGCAGAATGAAGTGGAAGCAGGGCCGTCCCGCGAAGCCCCTGACCCACCCGGGTGGAAGGATCCGCCCCCTGCCTGGGCATCCACGCTTCCGTTAGCACCGCTCTGTCCCTTCGAGGCTGTGATCCGAGTTTGCAAACAGATGCAACTTCTGGAGGAAGAGTCTTCGCAGAAGAGAGCGTGGGGGCCAATTCTGCTCCAGCACAAGGAGCAGGATTTCTCCCGGGAGATTGCCTTTGGGTTAGTTTTGGCTGAATGGGGAAAGATCCTGCAATCTGCCACCCTTGCCCACCTTTGCCCTGACTGTCAGCCCCACCAGCTAGATCACACCAAGAAATAAACTTTGCAAGAAGGCTACAACTACTTTTACTAATATTGGCTATACCAGTGTTTCTCCACCTTAACAACTTTAGGATGTCTGGACTTCAACTCCCAGAATTCTGGGAGTTGAAGTCCAGACATCCT